CAGAATTAATGCATTTTGGTAAGCATCCAATTGGTGGTATTTTAGTTGACTCTGCTTTCCTTAATCCAATATTATGAAAGCAATAAAAGGCTTGGAAAAAGTGTAGAAGATTTACTGAAGCAGTTCTTGTCCTTAGAAGTAAGCATACAACATTTGTTTGTTTTGGAGGTGGGGGTTAAAGAAAAGACATCTTGACTATGTTCTCAACCCAACTCAAATCTTCTATCACTAATTCAATTCAGTACTGAAATGAAAACTCACAGAAATAATTTCTTAATGACTGACTCAAATGAAACATTTGAAAGTTAAGTACGTGACAAGCTACCAGGGCCAGCAAATTAAAAGCTTAATATGATACACATTTGAATTTCGTTCATAAAGCTTTTCTCCTCCTAAGAAAAAATAAGACTGTATTCGATCTCATCAGCAATGTAACTAGGAAAGTGTGGTAAAAAAACAAAGTAAAAAATCACACATCTACATAATTCACAAAATCTTGAAATAGGAGAAAACTGGGCAGAAACAAGCCTGCCTCATTCACACCAGAGAATTAAGTTTTAGGAACAGTAAGATTTTTAGTCACGCCTACAATTCAGTCACAAGGTCCAGAGCTTTTGTGGTTTGAAAACAAGATTTCATAGCTATTAGTGCTCACAAACTTGTGGGCTATTGGGTAGATATTGCAGCAAACAGTTGGACTAATTTCCAGAAGGAACAAATATTGCCAAGTTAAATGCTCTGCTTTATGGCAGACTGTAACAGGTGCTGTATTTTGACACTATAGCAACATCCAGCAAGTTCTCATGGTGAAATTCAGTTTCTCTAGGGTTTAAGGTGTTCAACCTTTCCGTAAAGATACCAAAAGCTCACTTCCCTCATTTTGCAGAAAGTAAAGGATACAGTTAGATTATAGAAATTTGTGTGGCTCATTATCTCAAACAATATCTGTATGCTATCTTTCTCCATATTTAAGTACTTCATTATCTTAGCCCATCATCTCATTAATAGATTCAAACTTTTCAAAAAGGGATAAAAACCTAAAAAATTAATGCTTTCTAACAGAAGTCAGTGTTTTTACTTTGGCACACTACTACTAAAGAAACTGTAAAAAGGTTGACAAGAGGAAAAATGATATAAAGTAAAGCAGTGTTGGAACCTTTCTAGGAAGTAAGTTAAAATACTCTCCAAACCAAGCCCTTACTGTCTATCTTGTTTTCTTATAGCTATTATCATACCTAGTAAATAACAGCTTAGTAAGAGTCATCAAGGAGCTACTCATTCCACTCTGGTTATCAGGTCTATATTAAAAGTTTCTAAGGGGGAAGTGTGAAACATTAGGAATTAATCATTAGCACCCTAAGAAGAGCCAAGAATAAACAGTTGCATCACTTCTTGTGCTTTTTGTAACTACAAATTATTTTGCAACTGCATACATAGAAAGAAACAACAAAAAGCACTATGTAACTGTTTTGCATTCAAGCAGTTCCTCAGTGTCTTCAAAAAGTTAGACATTAAGGTTTGCAACCAATCACGAAAAAAACCCATGAAAAATAATTGTCCATTGAAGCCAACAATTTGTGTTTTTTTCTTTTTTTTTTTTTAAATTAGGATTTTTAATTAGATCAAAGCCACAGTCATAGGTTTGTAAGAAGGTAGCTATAAGAAGCATCTCTCCACACTGTACCGAACATAAAACGTCCTACACAATTAAAACCACATCACATACCAGCAAAACCTTCCTGAGGCCCAGGCAACCATGAGGAAGCCCTCTGGATATGATGCTGTTTGAAACTGGAATTTGTTGTGTATGGCAACAGTCTGAGTGGCTCAGAGCCTTCTGGAAAGTGCCTTAAGTCATGAGGAGCCTTCATTGAAGTGGCAGGTGACTTTATGAGTGGCGTTGACAGAAAGAGTATGCAACAGGGGTGGTGTGCCTGAACAAAGGCCCTTGTGTGGGAGCTGTTGGTGTGGGCTTCTGGCTCTGTGATGAGCTATCCTTGGTAGTGGTGGGCACTGGTGCTTGATACTGTTTGCTGGGGGGTGGTGGGAGAGTGGGAGAGTCTTGTCTAGCTAAATGAAGTACATTCAGAAGGTCTCGCAAAAAAGTAACTTCTTGTGGAGAGGAGCTATGCCCAGGCTTGGTAGGTGCCTTACAGTTCTGCCTCTGTTTGCTGGGGAAGCAGCAGGACTGTATTTGGGTGAGCACAAGCTGGGTGCATGGCTCCTTGTGAAGCATGTAGTTAGGTTTATGAAGGGACCAGGGAGAAGGGAACCCTAAAGGTGGAAGGTGTTACCTGTGTGTGACTTGAGTTTCCTATGGGGTGGCAGGAGGGTGTGATGGTGTTTAAATTGAAGTAAATTGTGAAGTTAGAGAAATAAGAAAAGGGAACAGAGAGAGAGAGCCTTGTGCAGGAGTGGTGGCCATGTGAAGGTGATACAAGAGGCAGGAGTGTGCAGTGGTGGCAACAGCTTGTAAAGCGTTGAGGCTGTAGAAGGAAAGGTGGGGAAAATCTCTGTAAGCAGTGGTGCACAACTGTGCACAGTTTTCATGCACTGTAAAAGGTGCGGGGTTATGCAATGGCATTATAAATTAAGTGCTTCAAGTCAGATGGGGCATATAGTCTGGTGAAAAGGAACTTGTGGGCAAGCAGTGTCTTGCTGGACAGAAGCAGGTGTCTGATATGGAAAGAGTTTGCTGTGGCAGTGTCAGGAGTGTCTAAATCCCTTTGGTCCTAAAGGATTCATGGCCTTTTTAAAAAGAATGCTCCTGGGTAGGGTGTAGTCTCCTCAGGGAGAGACAGTGCCTGTGTGCAGTTTTGTAAGCTGTGAAGATGACATGAAAAGGAGAAATGTGTGCTAACAATTACTTTTATGAACTTAACAACCTTGTCTTTGAGGGGAGTTTACAGTCTAGGGAAAAGTGATGTCAAGTGGGGATGGGCGGAATCCTCAAAGATTGACAGAGGCTTGTGCAGTGTCACAGGTGGAAAGAGCCTACAGTGGTATTCACAGAGTAAGGGGCTATCTTTTGGGCAGTTGCACACTTGTGAGCAGTTTCCAGTTGGTGTGGGACTAGTAGAAGTGCAGCTGCAGTAGTGTTCAGAGGCAGGGTCTCCTCTGTTGGAAGCAGAAAGTATTCACTGCAGTATGGTGGGAAAGCTTTCCACAGGAAAGGTGCACACTGGCATATCTTTTCCACATATTCCACCCTTCCTGGGATGGGGGTAGGAGGGGGGAATAAATGGTGGTAGTGTGGAGTAGAGGGTATGATGGTGTGTTTCCAAGAGAAGTTCCTCAAGTTTGACAGGTGTTTGGATGAGCCTAATCTCCTAATTCAGGAACTGCTTCAGGGATGGGGAAAGCCTTCCCCTGGAATGGCAGATGCCTGTGTGTCTCCTGTGTGCTGTGAGGGTGATGGGGTAAACAGGAGCATGCGATTGCATTTGCAGGCTGAATATCTCATGTTTGCAGAAGGGACCTATCGGAAGGGTTGGAGCTTTAGCTGGGGTGGTAGGCAGAGAGGCTGGTGGGCTACTGCCATTTGTGAAAGTTGGCAGGAGTTTTGCTGCAATGATGATTGTGAACTAAAGAGTGTTTGTATGGGCTTGTATTGTAAAAGTGTCCACTGCAGGAAAGATTAGCCTCCCTGAGGAGGGGTAGATGCCTAGGTGAGGTTTACACGGTCTGTGAGGGCAGCAGAGCTGGCAGGAATGTGCAGTGGTGATGGTGTTTACCTGCAAAGTGCCTTGTATGAGAGGCATTTGGGTGGGCTTGAAGTCTCTGGAAAAAGGATGGAGAAAGGAGGCACAGAGTTGCCCAGAAGGAGCAGATGCTTTTGACGGTGGCAGGGTGAAGTGTGCTGTGGCAGCATGGGTCCATAGGTTAAGGGATTCAGGCAAGCTTTTCTCTTGTGAGAAGTGAGTTGTTGGGGGAATGGCAGCCTTCTGTACGACTTGCACATCCATGTGTCCAGCTTCCATATGGTATGAAGGTGGTGAGGGTGGCAGGAGAGTGCAGTGATGCTATTCATGAGCTGAGTGCCTCATGTTTCGGTGGGCTTGTCCTCCAAGAGAGGACCTGTTATCTGGGGAGTCCTTACCCATGAGTTGACTGCCTTGTGTTTCGAGCAGCTTTCTAATCTTGTGAAAAGCAGTCCTTTGGAAGGCAGTAGCTGTCCCTAAGTGGGGCAGAAGCCCTGAAGAATGGGGATGTGTTGGAAGGAGCTTTGTCTAGGGGTGATAGGGGATTCTGAGGCAACATTTGCTGGGCAAGAGCTTGCTATGGTCATGGCATCATGAACAAAGTGAAGCCTGCTAGGCATGTTCTGAGAGGTAAGGAGAAAGCCTTGTCCTAGAGTGACCACTGCCTTTGTACAATTTCTATTTGCTGTGTGGGCCTTGTAGGCAATAGCAGTGTGATGAGTGCAGTGATTTATCTTTGAGAGGATTTCATCTTGAAAAAAGGCCATTCTACCAAGTGGGGATGGGTGGTGGGCGGACCCTGGCCTGTGAGTGGCAGATGCCTGCAACAATGGCATAAGCTGCAGGAGTGATGACTTGAACTTCCATGCATGACCTTCTTAGTTAACTCTCCACCTCCCTTTCCCATATTTTAGGTTTATTTACAGGGAGAAGTAAAGCAAAAAACAACCTTAGAAACAGTTAACATCATGTGTTATCTTACCCTCTGTGGACTTTTTCAGTGCTGCTTTTCTTAGCTGCCTCTTAGATGCTTAAACGGAGGCAGCTTTCTCTGGAGTCTTCCACCCACTTGAGACGCTCTTTAAAATAAGTTCACAGAAAACTGCTGAAGCCCACCTCAGACTTCAGCTTCTATTCTGACTATTCTCTTCTTACTCCCTACTTTCGAACACATGTTTTTAGGACTATTACACTTTGATTTGTCATTTCTCTTTCCCATCCCTCTCTACTTTATTATTGTCCAGCAGAGGCACAAGATACACATTCCCCAGACAGCTCATATACTCTCCCAGCACCTACCTGTTTGAAGTTACTTGAACTCAGCAGGGATTTCTGTTCTCTTTTGTATTTATGCCACAATCCAGATGGAACCGGGAGATGAGCTTGTCCAGTTAGGATTTTGCAAACTGATTCTCTGAAGCTGCAAGTATTTGCGGTGCCTGGAAGGCTCTACTGGTATGCTACAGCTGGCTATAATTCCCAGTTTAGGAATCCCTGACTTTGATCTGTCTACTGCTGGTGGTCTTTTTAGAATTTGAACTGAGGTTAGCATGGGTTATAATTTAACTTGATTGGTATGAAACTACTTTCATTCCAAATATTGTCGGCTGTGCCAAGCACACTGTTATTCTTGGGGTATTCAGAGTCAGGGCAAAGGTGACTGATAATGTCCAAATTTTTGTTTACTGTGGAAGGAGGTGGTGGGCAAAAGCTGAAAGGAAGAAAAGAAGGAAAATCTGACGAGTGAGTATGATACTCTAACAACTCAATACTCTTTACTTGAGATGTAGGTTATAGGGTCATCCTTCTGAAAACCTACCAAGAGTAATAGCACTGGAGGAATTATTATAAAGTGTCTTCATGCTGAATGTTGAAATTCATAACTGTATAGACTTATTGGTTTTGAGAGATACTGTGTATGCTGCTATAGCAGTCCTCTTAAAGATAATATTGTTTTACATTGTTATTTTTCATGGCTATTTAAAATTCTTTTAGATGTAATTACAAAAGCTTGCTGCAGCAATAGATAAGGATGGGATCTGTCACCTGTTGCACTCACTTACTTTTAAGTTTCAGTGTTCTTCTCTTAACAGCACTATTTTGAAGACTTCTCTCAGCTATGCTATTACTCAGCTATGCTGGGTTTGTAGATCTAGTTTCTGAATTGCAGATTCAGTTTATTGTGAATAGTTACATTATAATTTTGCCATCTTGACTCAATTTTTCAGCTTCATTTTCTTTCTTTGGAAAACCTACTGTGGCTTCCGTATTTGACTCCTTCAATTCTTTGAAGTATGTCCTCAGGCATAACTCACAATATCATTTGAGAACATTATTTTAAATTATTATCTAATTCACAGCAGGGTATATTATTCACAAAATATTTTCCAGAATGATTGTTGGCACAGAACAAAACAAGATTAGGTATTGTTCACAACGGGTTGCTTCAAAGTTGTTTTGATTTCTTTAAATTCTTGTGTCTTGTTTTCAAAGCCAAATGTGTGGTATAACCCCAGCCAGCAACCAAATGCACACACCTGCTCACCTGAAAGGAACTGAACCATTTTGTCACCCATAAAATGAAACAGTTCTTAGGACTTGCTTCTGGATGTAATTTAATACTCTGGATCTCAGAGCAAATGTGTAAAATTCTGGCAGACCGAGATACTCTGTAACGTATAACTTTATGTGTAAGCGATTTGTTTTCATGAAACTCTTGCTGGGCAAGATTTGATCTGACATCAAGCTGTCTGAATGAAATTCTGAATGAAGTGTACTTATCTGCGAGGATAGAAGCAGCAGGTGAAATATGACAATGCAGTAAATTCATGTTCACGTCTTTTGGATAGGAAAGTATTTTTGATTTTTTTTTTCTGCATAACACTTAGTTTAGTAGATATTATTTTAGAAGGAAAAATTAAAGTGCCTTAAGAGTAGTGGAAAAGAAAAAGTTTTTCATAAGCAGTAGTACTAAAATCTGGAATATTTCAAATAGTTTGGGCAATGGAAAAATATGAAAGCCTCGAGTACAGCAAAAAGGAAAGATCTTGTTAGCTTTTAGCAGGCTTTATCTATGCAGAGATGTTTGCTTGTACTCCCTGCATAACATTACATTTAGATAAATATAGTAATGTAATAGACTGTGGGCCATATCCCAGGCTGCCAAGGTGGTTCACCTGGCCTGCATCCTGCTTTTGACCATACAAGAATTTCTTGGCCTGAAAAAGGAATGAGCCACAGTCCAAATCCACATTCTGATGGTAGCTGCTTATTTGAGATACTGTTGGCTTTCTCTTCCTACCAAAGACCAAAAGGAAGTAGGGAAGAGTTTTGTGATCTCTGCAGTAAGTGTATTTCTTCTGGAAAGTTTTACACCTACTGTACCTACCTAGTAGTTTGTGTCATGATGGGAGACTGTGCTGGTTTAAAAGTAAACTGGCAGGAGAAATGAACCCAACTCAAGAGAAATTACAAGTCAGAGTCACAATTTACTAAAAAGATTATAATAAGTACAACGATATGGAGAAAACCTGTTTTTTTAACCTATAAAGAGAGATGTATAACCCTGCACCCTGGAATAAAGACAGAATGGTGTTTGTTAGCCCCTATGCTGAGCACCACGTGGCCCCCCTGAGGGCAAAGTAAAAGGAAAGGAAATCTGATGATCCAGATGATGGTTGCAGTCCTGTTGAAGTAATGATCGCAGTCCTGTCAAGAGTGGTAGCCACACTCCTGTTGGACTTCTGGATCTCCTCTGGATCCAACAAGGGGTACCAGAAGTCCCAAACCCCCAAGATTATATATGCTCAGGTTCAGGTGGGAATGTCCATTACACACAACCCCCCCCAGGGCGGGAAGTTTCACAATGGGTGATTTAACTCTGCCAGTCATGGGACATTTTTGGTATCTTTTATGGTCTAGGTCATTGCAGCCACCTATTATGCCAGTTCAGTATGGCCCATTAGCAGAGATGACCCCTCAGGCTGAGTATGAATGTGCTAATGCCTCCCCTGAGGGGAGTTATCACAGCTGTTATCACAGTTATTAGCATGAAGACAAAGAAACACCCCTGGCAGGGTTTCTTTAACACCCATCTTGTAGCCTGAGGTGTCAGGTGTGCCCTGGGCAGCTGCTGCAAATGATTCATTATTAACAGTCCATCAGAAATGACATAGACTGTGTAGAATACACAGTTTTGGTTATACCCACGTAGTGATAAACTGGTCCCAGCCCCTGTAAGTAGGACAGAGACAAACTGAGATATATTATTCTGATCTCCACAATTGGCAAAATTAGCAGGAAGGCAGATGCTCTGATAGAACTCTTTTATTACATTGAAATTGTGTTCACAGTAAGGGAATGTACCTACACATAATTCCTAGGGTGGAGAGGGAGTGGGGAATTTATGCACACCTGACAGTGGTGTAATCAACATTAAAAATTCTCTATTTAGACTAGAGTGTTATTCTGAACCAGATTTTTAATCTGCTTCTAACGCAACAGAAATCCATTTGAGTACCAGTGTCTGAATTACACTGTAAACTTGAAGCATTATTCTTAATCGGGATTACAAAAAGATAGATGCCAGGGAAAGATAGATGTTTAATGAAGTTGAGAAGAAGCTTTAAGGTCAACGAAGCTGCCACTGACTTTCAACTAAGTCCAAGTGCCTAGCATGTTCTATTGGACGTTATCTAGAGGCTCAAGGCCAGACAGCAGGGAGCACTAAACCACAAGGGTGTTAGCAAAATTTACACTGGGTGATGTTGTTCATATATTGGAGTGACTGGAGTACATTGAAAAACAAACTTAATGTGATACATTGTGGCAGCATTTTTTCTCATGGCATGGAGGTATCTAAAATATGAAGCTGGTGGGGTGTTTAGTGGGAATTTTCAAGAGAAAATGCTAATTAAATAAAAAAAGGAAGGACTTTTTCAAAAAATTGTATTCTTCAGGGAGTCTTCGAGTGTCAAGAAAGAAAGTCTGAGAGCCATGGTAGTACTACAGTCAGAAATAAAATAATGGCTGATGAGGATATTAATCTAACTTCAATCTATGTCCAGGGTTCTGGGATGTCCAGGATCATGTAATTTCTGCTGGAAATGTTTAGTAATTTGCACAGAGAAGGATAGTTCCAGGACAAGACATGTGGAGAAGCCCTAGACAAGTGATGTGCATAGGATCATCCCCCTTTGTGGAAGGCACAGGTTGCTGTCCTAGGTGATGCAAAAAATTGAAGGAAGGTTCCTTCTCTCTACCTCTCTTCTGGTTTAGACCTCCTTTCTGCAAAAGACTGAAAGTCTGATTTATGCTTGAGCCTAATGAGAAATTCTGGAATATGAAATACATAGACATGACCTTGAAAGTTAATGTTTGACAGTATCCCACATTACTGTGAGGATTAGCATGAAAATTTCCACTGAAAACCCTTGCAGTATTGTTTTTAAGCAGGAATTTGCTAATTTTTCCAGACATGCTTTTCATATCCACCTGGCTTGTAATATTTTACTTGATAACACATACTGAAGTGTTTGTCAGGATCTTGGTTGGTTAGTTTCAAACAAATACAAGTAAATATTTATAAAGCTTCTTGCTGATAAAAAGGAAATGGTAAAATATGTGCAGCATAATACTATAGCTGCCTTGTTGGTCATCAGTTCTTTCTGTGCTTGGAAGTGTGTGCATTTCTTGAACATGCTGTAACTCATCGCTATTCTATATTGGTGCAAATTCCTGAAAGTCAAGCAAGCATGCTTTTTAAACAGAATCCTTGGCAACAAGAAGAAAGAAAAAAAAATTCGAAGGGCTTATTTTTCTAAAGATTGACAGAGGCTACAAGTAGAGAGGTGAATCAAGTAAGCTGGATAACATCCAGAAAGTGAGATTAAGAAGAAAGGAAAGAATCTTAGGCTCAGGCAGCAGAACGATAGAGTAATTTTCTAGGACTTAATAGCGTGACACCAGTGAGCCTTTTAGTTCTGTCTGCCAGTGTATTTATTTCCTTTCTAACTTAAGTTCAGTTTGTTGTACTTTTAATGCTGTCCTCAGCAAAAGAATGAGTCACCTCTTTCAAATAGATCCATGTTCCAGAACAGTGCAAGTTTTTATACATTAACTGAACAGTTTTCAAAGTTGGGAGAATGCAACACAAACAAGTTCTTTAGAATATACCTGAACTGCTGTTGACCACTAAAGAGTTGCAGCCAGATCCTTTACTGATGCAAATGGGTATAACCTCCATTGATTCCAACAGGGTTGTGTTGAGCCTTTACGATACTATAACATACTGGGTAGGGAACTGTTACCACCCCATTTTCAGTTTATGTTGAAAAGGAATCTTGCAATATTTTCTCTTAAATAACTGTATAGCACTGCTTTCATCAGGCTTCAGATGCTGAACAAATGAAATTTTTTAAAATTTTCTTCTGCTCAATAAGTATTGTCAGCCTGGTCAGTACTGCCAGTCATTTGAAATGAGGTTCTTAATTTACTGAAGCATTCATGAAGTTTTTGATC